GATGCCTTGGTCAGCGTCATCGTGGCCAGGCGAGTTCGGCATGCCCGACGAGTCCGAGGTCGTCGACGACTACTCCTCCGAGCTGTCCATGAAGTTCCGCGACGTCTCCCTCACCAACGCCACGCCAGTACCCCGCGAGAGAGGGGACGACGGGCGGAGACATGACCTGGAGGCGCTGTCCGCGGCAATGGTCACCGTGGACAACGGCTTCGAGAACCAGTGGTGGTACCAGGGCGAACGCCAGCAGATCACTGCACCGGGGGTGGTGGCTGGCGACTTACACACGACCGCCGCGGCGTTGGCGAGCACGACGGCGACTGCTGAGGCGGTGGTGTCTCCTCTTCCTCCTCTTCAGACCCCTGTGCAACTGCACCAGCAGCTGGGGGGCTACGGCACGAGGGAGTCGATGGGATGGGTGTCTGCCCAGGGCGGGGATTCCCACGCGAGCATGATGAGCGCTACGATTTACAACCCGAGTGTCTTGGTGTCACCCATGTCAGAGTACGCGAGCCCCCGCCTTCACCGGTCGATGACTACGAGGTCCGAGGAGCTCTTCTTTTACAGCTGAACGGGGGGGGGGGGGGGGGAACAAAATCCAAAGTGGTGGTGGTTGAGCATGATTTGTTTCAAAGCATGGCGCACAGGTTTATCATTAATGGGGGGGGGGTTTGGATCGCGGAGATCTAGGGGTATAATCGGCATTCACCGCGGTTTAGTCTGGATGACTAGACTATCTTGGTTGGATATGGAGTTTTTCTTTTTCAGTTGGAGTTTCTCATGGAGGATATATCCATATGCACCCAAATTCTTGGACAAGAAGGGGGGCCTTGATTCGTGGGAGAGAGGCGCGGTTCTCTCTTCCACTTTCACCCAAAATAATATTTTTCCATCACTCACGTTCCACAGGCACGATTACATTGTCTGGCCCCCTCCCTTTGATCCTGTTCCCAACCACGAACAACTCCCATCCTAAGACCCTTTGTCACAAACCAGGAACACAGGACCCCAAACAACCAAGACACGTCAAAGGCGATTCCACAAAGCATCATTATTTTTAGGAAACGAATCCTGGATCATTGGAACAATGAAAAAAAGAAAACATGCCTCGTCTAATGGGCTATATGGTACGCCAGGGTAACCAGGCTTGCGGGTTATTCAAAAAAACAACAACATGGGAAGGTTATCAACGCCCACGCCACGTCAAACCAAGAAACAGCAGCCCTTTCATCCAGTACCACGGCTTTTGTTCCCAGTTTAAGGATTTCCGCACCGGTCTCACCAAGGCGTACCGCAGGTCTTTCTTTTTCTGTGTTGTGATGATGCCTGCCGACACCGGGGGTTCCTACATGAGGATATTGAAACATGGTCATTGTCCTTTTTCGAGATTTCTAACCTGCTAATGTCTAGAGGGGAACCCATGTTTTCCGACTTTGAAGAGCCTAGAACGCCTTTGTCTCGCGGGGTTCCGCGCGCGCGTGCATGATCCAGCCCGTCGGTTGTGTCAAGTGTTTCTCTTCTGACATGTTTTCTTGATGCTGAAACATCCCGTTCCAACTTTGCTAGCAAACACGGTGGACGGTGGTATCCTTGAACCCAAAAGTTCAGTGTTTCAATTGGTATTACGGAGTCGAATGTTTGAATAAGATCAAAATTGGGGTTTGAGCGGAGGTGCCTAACGTCAGAAACGGCAACGGCCCCGGGAGAATGTCGCGGTTTCATCCCGTTGATGCGCGCGGGGTGGGAGGGGGGAGGGGGAGAGGGGAGGTAATTGGGATGACACATTTCAGAAGTATTAGCCCACGGGCAGGCGACTACTTATTTTCGTTTCCCGCTTTCTTGCTTTCTATTTTTGTGAGTTGCTTTCAATGTTGCTTTTGGTAACTGCCCGCCGGCGGGTTATATTGGTGGACCCCGGTCTCCTGGGGGAAATGGGGGTGAAACCAATTCGAGGTTATTGATGGAGAGGGTGTACGGTTGTTCAGAGTGTGCTGTTTTAGCAAGAGACTTTCAAACCTCTCCATTCTATGCCCTCGTGTATTTGCTTTCCGGGAGAAACAATTCGACAATACCTCATGTTATGAAGAAAGAGTGGAAAGAATCTCGCTCACTGTATTCTGCCATGCCATGAACTGAAGAAACGATGCCTCTATCTACTGTCACTCGGAAAGGTGCTATCTAACGTGTTGAAGCAGACTAAGTACGACGTGGAGCATAGCCCGGGGAAGCCGGTTGTCTCTATTCACACCTATCTGCCTGCCTCATCTGTCTTCAGGTCCGGCTCCCCTGGCGGATGGCATGATTTCCGCAACCGCCTGCTGCCTGTAATGCCTCGTGAAAGTCTGTCTAGGGGCTCCGTCCTCGTTGGACCAATTTTCTAGAGCATGATTTACTGAGGAGATTGGGTGGTAGCTGCATGGTCTACCGCCTCTGTGACCCGACCCCACGTTATGGTTGGTATGTTAGTTCACAAGTGTGTGTATGGGTGGATTTGCTGTGATATTATGGATGCTTATGGGAAGCAGCGATGCAATCAGGGTATCGGATGTTACGACCGTTCCTATGTAACGTTCCACCTGGACTGCAGATGATATGGGTATGGGGGCATCTGGTGGCGTCGAGACGACACGGGGATGAGTAACTGCGGTGGGTGGTTGTCGATGCCTGACCTTGGGGTCTGAAGATGACTCGATCTCTCTCAATAAAGAACTTGGTTATGGAATGACGAGTCTCTATGCTAGTGGCTGACCAGCTTGATGTCCATCCATGTGTCTCTTGAAGAGTCCTGCGAACTACGTCCCCAAGGGCACATCACCCGTTTACGCATCTCGATAGCGTCGTCCTGTGAGGATGTTGGTCCCTGTTCGCGGCTCTCTTTACGGCTAGCTACTTACTCTTTCGAAGTGGACGTAGCATGATGTGGATCGCAAGGAGGACGTTGTCCGGCGGTTTGCGCGGATATGCTTCAAAATACCTCTCAATCCAAGAACCAATCTCGAGTTCATCTTCGCGGTAAGGAATCCCATCCCGGCTGGAATACCACCCCTTTCGTCGAGTATCCACACAGGAACGAAGCAACCAGGCACTAGGCATGAGTGTACTTTTCGTGGAAGGGCCCAATGCCGGAGGGGAGCACAATGATGGCACAGATCCAAACTCCTTGATAGTCTAGATGGTGGGAGCGGTTGGTGGAACAGGCAGAAACCCGGGGGTGAACACGTTTGTCTTGACGACGATGCCTTTTCACGGTGTCCGGTTTACATCTGCTAGGGTGGGGTGGGCATGCCCCCTTTTCCATGGAGGCGAGTGCTGAAGTCTCGCTCAGCTTGCTGATGATTGTGCTGATCATTTTTCATCCTTATTCTTTACTGAAGCTTTAGGGTCGTTTAGATAAAAGTGCCTCGCATTATTGCGAGAAGTCATGCTGTGAAGGATTCGCTGAGAATAGAACTGGGCCTTTTAAAATAGCGACACAAGCCTTTGCCAGGGCTTGGGGAGAAGAGAATCTCTCGTGAGGTTTCGGCTAGAGTTAAAACATCAAGCATATGATGATGTCTTTCTGGGCAAAGTTAATCCAAACTGGCCATAAATTGCACGAAAGCCTTCATTTCCACCTCTTGACCTTGACGGACAGGTCACGTAACGTGCCTACCTAAGTATAGAACGACGGACGCATGCCCATAATGGAAGCCTGCCTCCCCAGCCCGTTCCCACCAAATCCACAATCGACGTACTAATTACAAGAACCCTTGGGCTTTCCAACAGGCTGCAGCAACGAAGGAAGTCGGTGGGTGATGACAAAGGGGTGGGTACAACGTCAAGCGGCCGAATATGGTAAATCTGGCACGAGACTTCGAGGACGTTGAAGTATTCTTAGAACATCGACCATTCTCAGCTTGTGTCTGTCTCTGAGTGCCGGGTAAACGCCTAGTGGTCCCTGGAAATGAGCATCGCAAGGCTTTTGAGGGCAGCCTAGTTTTACCAAAAAGAAGAAATGGATTCACAGTTCTGGAGCCTGGTGTGATACTGCATTACCTTTGGAGCTCAGAGATTGTCCAAGGTGCAAGGCTTCAGGGGCGAACTTTCTACCAAGTTGCAAAAGTGAGAGTGATCAATGGACCCGCTCAGTTCGAGCAAGACCGGGCAGCTTAGAAGGTGTCGAGTATGTACTCCGTGGCCCTCGTCGAGTACATGGACATGGGGCCCTAGCCGGTATCATGGAGTTCGAAATACAAAAGTATCAAAGAGGCAGGCCTTGAGTTAGTAAAGGATAGGGTTTGACGCGCCGTATGTTCGAATGCCTGAGGTGGACTTGAGCGGTGGTAATTACTCAGCGACGAAGCTACTCAAAAAACTTCGTCAAGCATCATTCATGGCTTCATTAGAGGGAATACGTTTTCAGGAGCCCTTTCAGTGTAGGTATTACAAGGAAAAAATCGTGTAGAGACGGTTACAGCTACTTCTTTCGTCATGTTCGACCTGCTTCCCCCTTGAAAAATTTGTTTCTGTAACCGCCTGCTGGCTGGTGCAACCTCTTTCTACAACATCCGCATGCAAACCATGGAAAGAATGGTTTGATCCCTGCCTCGGATTTTGAATTGAGCCTCCACGGAGAGACTAGCAGCCCGCTTCAGCTCCCCAGGCTCTCAGTCCAGTTGCCGGCCGGATTAGGCTTCGATGTAGGAAACCAGCGCAGAGACCCCATCCCCACACCGCCTCTAACATGTGGCGTCCAGCTGATATCCCGAAAAGGCATGATTTGACGATACAAGAGTCTCGGCATAGAAAAGGGGGTGGTGACTTTTGTGGTCGCAAGGTCGGGGGAATGGAGGGGGAAGGGGTAAAGCTGCAGGAGAAATTAATTCTGCTGCCTGGAGGCAACGGATATGCCGCGGCGGTGATTGGGAGAAACTTGGTGGACGCTAGTGCATGTCGAACGATAATCGGACCGTCTTTGAGATCTACTGCATTCAAGACGGGGGTAACTGATCCTACGATAAAAGTAATTCGGTCTTCGTGGCTTTGAGGAAAGGGTTGCTTGTTTGGTTGGTTTTTTTTTGGTGCCGACGATGGGTTTGGATACGTGCTTGAGCAAGATTGGTGAAGCTACGAAGATGCGGGAAGGAAGCGGTGATGGGTCTCATTTGGGCTACTCGAAATACTCCTGAGATGTTAAAAAGATTCAGCGCAGTGGTAGGCTCCATAGACTGTTCGGGAACATAGTTGACTGGTTGACTATCATCGGAGTTCACCTCCGAAGTGGGCTTGGAGAACGGCATTTCAAGTCTCGGGCATATCGTCTCTTTTCGCTTATATTTCAATAGACCGGATTTATGGATCTCCGGAGTCAAGCTACCTGTTCCTGTTCTAAGAAGACCTCTTCTATCGTACGCTCCATCGTCTACAAGACCTTTATCCAATAACTTTCTCCATAGCCTCGACATCCATCTCAACCCTCGGCTCCATCTGCATCGGGACGACCATGCCACCCGCAGCCATTGCACCGCTCGCCGCCGCCGTCGCAACGGCCTTGACCATATTCCCGCAGTCGCCTACGGCATAGACACCAGAAACGCTCGTCTGTCCAAAAGGGGCAGTCGTCTTGATATCCCCGTTATCCATCGTCTCCAGCCCAAGCTGCTCCACAAAGGGACCGTTGGGCCTTGTAAACGGTGCATGAGCGAGGAAGCCCTCTGTGACTTCCTCTCCTTCTTCTCCATCTCGTCCGCTGAGCGTGAGTGTGACGCTGGTGCGGTGCTCTCCGCCAGCCATGCGCATCGATGTGATTTTCCGTGTGTCAACGGTAAAGGGATTATTCGCCATGGCACGAATCTCCGAAGCGAGAGCCTCGTCACCGTGAGTATAAATCGTCACTTTCTTGCCCAGCGGCCGAGCCATGTACGCGATATGCGTCGCCATCTTGACGCTCCCCGTCAACCCGAACGCGAGGACGCCCACCCTCTCCGCCCCGCGCTCCTCGAAGCCATGGCAAACCAGACAGTGGAAAATCCCGTAGCCCCAACAGCCCGCGTAGCCCGGCACCTCGGGCGCAATGTCCGTGACGCCGGTAGCCAGGACCAGCCGCCGTCCAAACCACGCCTTGCCCTGCTTATCCTCGGCCCTAAAGAGCCCGTCCTGGACCTTGGTCGTCTTGACGACCTCGACGCCGTCGGCGAAGGTCACCGTCTTGGCGTAGCGGGCTTTGAGGTCCTCTCGAGCTTTGGCGCGGAAGGTTGGGGGCGGGATGTGGTCGAAGCCGAGGACGTTGTGCATGTTGGTGGCGCGGGCGTTGCGGTAGAGGTTTGAGTCGAAGAGGACTGTGGTGTAGAGTTGGCGGGAGAGGGCTGTTGCTGTGGCGAGGCCTGCTGGGCCTGCGCCTATGACGAGGACGTCGTGGAGGATTGGGGTTGTCATGTTGGATGTGACGATGCCCGTTGCTAGTGGGAGTGCTTTGATGAGGTTTTTATAGAGGGTGTTCATGTAAGTTGTAATGTGGTATAAGCTTGGAAGTTAAATTGCGTGTATTCGATGAGATTGCAATATATCCAGCTATCATTGAGGCCATGTTATTGTCTTTTATGTTTTTCCAAGTGAAGAACGGGCGTGCCGGCTTGAGACGCGGCCTTGCGGGATGTCTCCGAGGCCGTGAAATGTTGCCGAGAAGATCGGATCCGGAGTGGGGCGGCCTGGCCGGGCGAGGGAAATGTCTCCGAGAAAAGGCGCCGAGTGACGAGCGAGCAAGTTTCAGAACCAGGAGCTTGGCATGACTCATTCTAAAGGACACTAATTTTACATGTCGTGTATGAATCTTGGTCGTTCTCGATAGTAGTTGTCGGAAGAAGGGATCCTGTGCGGGTGGGTGCCGTCATATGTCGCCGGTCGTGGTAATTAGTAGTAGCCCCGTGGAAGAAGGACAACAAACAATTCACTCCACTCCAAAGGAATTCGCTTGTTATTTGATCGATTCATTTGGTAGGTTCATGCCTTACACATGTACCAGATTGTATCATGAGTAATGGGAAAGGAAGCGAGGTTCGGTCCCAAGGCATATCTGGTGATCGCCGGCCTCACGATCACCTCCACTTCGAAATGAAGGAACAGTCATGTTCGGCTTTTCAGAAACCCAATGTAAGAATAAAGAAAATGAAGACGGGAGAGGGCGGAATTTTATCATCACCCCTCTAAGCGATTTTCATAAATGTTATCTGTAACTAGTTTCGAGAACACAATATCAAATCCACAACGACGAAAGGGAAAGAAGAATAGAAACAAACAATCCTACAAACATCTGAAAGAAGAACCCCTGGAGTAAAACAAAGGTGCCAAAAAGTGCAAAAAAATAGCTCCCAAGCGTGGAGTCGAACTCAAGGGGACGAGGTCCATCTCCTCAGAGACTTGTGGAAATCTCACGGCCCCAGCTGCGTGTTCCATATTAACCGCTGGGCTAAAGCGCCCGAGGGGGTTGAACCCCCCGTTTGCCTGTTGGAATGAGGAGAGTAGTTTGGTCATAAAGGCTTGCCATTGCTGGATGGATGACCTTGATGGTTTGAGGGTGTGGATGGGCGAGCGAGGCTGTTCGTGAGGATAGAGTTGGAGTGTGGCTTTGTCGAGATGGCGGAGTGGCGCTATGGGTTATGGTGTTGGGGGAGAGGGAACTTGCTCGAAGAAAAGTCAAGGAGGATTCGTTTTATGGGTGCTGGTTGCTTTCTCCCGAGGTTCTTGATTGATTTGGCTGTGGCCGGGAACTTGGTTGAGAGAAACCGGGTTGCGTCTTGCTTCAATCGACATATCGACGTCGAGAAACACATCCTATTCCTACCAAACCATTGCTTGTCTATCCTCACTCCTTCCTGACTGAAGAGGCAATGGCCATCTTCCTATCCAATCCACCAGCCTTCCCAGAAGCCTCCTCCGGAACATGACTAACCTCTTCATTCTCAACATATACAAACCTGCCCTCATCACACCCAACATCGCGAAACCAACCCCTGAAAAGCTCTTCGCTGAAAACCAGATGCTGATTCGTAGTCTTGAGAACGCCGTGCTGGTGGACCTCGTGCTCATGAACACCATGTTCATGAGTCCCCCTTCCATGACCCTCACCCCCATGCCCTCCGGACCAACCCTCCCCCTTCCCCTCCCCCTTCTCGGGCATCTTACCCTCTGCCTCCAGCCCTGTGGGCTTATAATCCACCCCCTCAACAGCAATCAACACGCCACCAACCCTCACCCTCTTCGCAAGCAATTTCAACATCCCCAACGGATCATCAAGGTGATGAAGCGCCATCGATATGATAACCACATCAAACACCCCCTCCTTAGCCAACTCTTCATCCGAGGACAAATCGCCCGCCACGGCATGCACTTGCGCTGGAGCGTATCCCAGCCGCGCCGCGCAGTCGTTGTAGCGTTGGACGATGGCGGGGGCGATGTCGATGCCGAGGATCGAGTCGACAAAGGGGCTGAGGGCCTAGAGTTCATGAGGTTGTCTTGTTAGGGGCCATGTACATAGACTTCTGAAGATGTTGGGCAAGGGAAGGTAAGGTCAGGTATGGTTTTGAAGGGAGGTTCTGTACCCAAGAAGCACCGCCCGATGCGCAAGCATAATCCAAAAGCCGGACGGGGTTCGACGGGTCTGTATCCCGGGGCCGGAGACCTAGGTTCGGGGCCTGGGCGCGTAGGAAGCAAGTGAGTTGCTCGGAGAAGATTTTGATCCAGTCTTGCTCTAGAAAGGTATGTGCGTTCGCACTGCCGTCATTTCAATGTCAGCTTCATGACTTGAGGATGGGTCCAAGATTGGAGGGAATTGGGATTGGCGGACTCCCAGAAGACGCGGTTGATTTCTGCCAGAGAAGCTGTTTCGGACTCGGTCGTGGTCATGATTGCAACTGTAAGATGTTTGGTGACTTTGTATTTCGTCTATATTTGGTACTTAAAAGATCTATGGTAGTTGCTTGAGCGGCCTTAGGTTTCTTTATATAATTGATCACATTTTCAACTCGTCAGGCTCGTTATTCTGTGGCTGTGTGGTTGCGTGGTTGTCTGTGATGCCGGAGAGTATTCGGCAACTTTCTCCATCAAGGTGCGCGCGCGAGCGGCAACATTGCGGTGACATTCAGGAACCGCAAGGCGACCATCTGGAGCCGACATGTTCTCATACCGCCTATTTCATCAAAGTCGTGATTCCTCACATGACTTGTCCCGCAGGCTCAATGGCAGCAGCAGGCCGTCTCCGGCCCTCGCCCATCTCATACATGGCCCACTCGTACACGGCCCACTGAACCGCGTTGACGACGAAGGCTCGCACGCTACAGACCGTCAGACCGCGGAAGAAGACTCTCATCCCGCCCTCGCGGTAGGCCTCCCTCGCGACCTGTATCGCGCCTGCACGCTTCGCCGGCTGCTGCTGCTGTTGCTGCGAGAGCCCTTGTGCCGCAAGCAGAGGTGACCTCTCGGGTGACTGCGCCTGTGCCTGAAACGCCTGCGTCTGAACGCGGGTCTTGATGACGTCCAGTGGGAAGATGCTCACCCACGTCACGATGCCTGCCAGGCCGCCGCAGAGTAACACCTTGGCAGCCTCCTCCTTCAGATTCGTCTCCTGCACGCCGTCGCCTCCGACGCCCATCCACCGCGTGGTGATTTCATACGACCAAAAGTAGAAGCCGTACCCGACGCTATCCCGCAGCGCAGTCACCACGCCACCAAAGTAGAGACCCCTGATCCCCTCGGCGCGCCAGACGTCCTTCGTGATAGCCCAGCTCGAGGCCGGCGGGGAGGAGAGCTGGGCGCGGCACTTTATCAGCTCCGTCGGGGTGCTTACGACCCAGGTAGCGAGGCCGCCGACGGCGCCGGCGAGCCATGTCGTCCAGAGGCTGGATTGGACGTTGAGGGCGCGGTTGAGGGCGGCCTCTGTGCGGTTGTAGGAGACGAAGAGGAGGGCGTTGAGGGCGCCGTAGCCTAGGATCGGGGCGGCGGAGCCGGTGACGAGGGAGGCGGGGGATTCGAAGTGGCGGAGGTAGGATGCCGCTGCGGCTGCGGTGGGGCTCGGGAGCGGTCGCGGGGAGGAGGGGAGGGGTGTCGAGGGGGCGGCGGTCGCGGGGCGGGCTTGGAGGCGGACTTTGAGGAGGTCGAGGGGGTTGCCGATGATGATGCCTACGGCGCCGCTTATGTAACCGGCCCAGAAGTCGGCGGACATGGTGGGCTGGCTGGCTGGCTGGGGGTGGTGAAGTTTCTTGTAACAATTGTGTGCTTGTAGCTAGCAGAAGCGTTCGAGCACTTTAGAAATCGCGGTATTGAAGGCGATTTTCAGGGTCGAGGTAGTGGTTGACTTTGGCTTGGGCGACGGCGATTCCGGTGCATATGCCGAGGTAGGAGAGCATCCATCCGCCAGAGGCTAGAGCCCAGAAGCGGGCATTCTTGAGCGGGTTCGGGTTCGGACTGCGGACGCGGGAGAGGTATTGGTAGTGTGCGTAGTGGGCGAACACGGTGCCGCCGAGGATGGAGGGCCAGTTGTCGACGATCCAGAAGATGCGGGCAGAGGGTGGACGGAGCGGGGTCCCGGGAGAGGAGGAGGATGAGGAGGGGGAGGGGTCAGCCATTATGGGGTTGATGAAGAGCTCTAGAGCGAGGGAGCCGTGCTTTGTTTCGTTCGAGACGGGACCGAGGGAAGCTTGGTGAAAGCGGAGAGGTGCCGTGGGACCGGGGGACCGGGGGACCTTGGGATCCACCCTGACTAGAGACGTTACGGGCGGGCGTATCCGTACGAATACCTAGACGTGGTGGTGGTGTTTGATGCGGAGCATGTGAAGATGGAGCTGTCGTCAGGCGTGGGGGGTAAGAGCGTCGATATGCAGCTGTGAGGTCAATTGAGTTTCGATGCGAGTCAATGAAATCGCAAGCAGTCAGCACAGCGTACCGTAAGATAAGAGTGCGCCCGGCAAAGAACGTTGGAATGCGGGCTTGCGCCGGTTGTGTCGCGTTGAAGAGATGGAGTTGGGGGCCGCAGAAATGAGGTGTAAGAGGCGCCGACCGTCTGGTCCAATGTCACCTGATTTCTGGTGTCAGCAGGTACCCTCGAGTGTTCCCATTGTGGGGGTCAGCTCTCACCGAGACTTTTCGGTAAGCCTCGGTGGGACAGTCACCGAGGTACACTGATCACTTCACGTTGCTCAAGACGATTTTCGGTTAAATAAGTAATGGTAATCTTCTTATGAAGACATTCTAATGTAGCTCAAAATAATGACACATGCTGTGAACAGTATCAGCAAAGATGTTGTCACTGGATGCAAACATCTTCCCACAACGCATCCTCAACAACGGCTTCCCCGTGCATGATGCCGTGCACGTAGGCCTCCCCAATCAACCGATAGCTGAAAGGCCCAGAAATAGAAGATACCGGCAACTCTCGAAGCACAAGCGGTGATGGACAGCCAGCAACCACCCATATTCCATCGCCATCTTGCACGGATTGGCCTCCAAGTCCCATGTGACCACTATCCGTCAGGAATGGCCGCCTCTCCCAGAGCGTCTCAAACGCAAGATTCACATACACCTGGCAGGTGTGCTTGAAGCGATCAAATAGTCCCTCAACTTGCTCCTTCTTCTCACATTCCTTGAGTTGCTTCAAATACCCCATAATCACGTCGCACGAGGGTACCGTCTTGCTGACATCCGATGCGGCGAGTCTCTTGATGCTCTCCAGACGGCTGATGTGCTCTTCAACATCGGCACCTTTCTTCATGGTGCAGTATACCTCCCACACGACGTGGTCCGCGATCCAGGAGTGGAAAGCCTTTTGCAGGCTGTCTGGGGCGGGGTGCTTGAACGCGTCTCGGTCACCGATCAATGTCCTCCAGAACGCCTCTACTCGACACTGCCCTGTCGGCTGATATACGAGATCGCATTGCAAGAGGAAGTCGGCCCATTGCGTGAAGCTCCCGTTGGTCGCTAGTTCAGAGTATACCTCGCCCATCAACGTTACCGTGCCGACGCACAAGGCCTTGACGTGGAGGAGCCGGTCGTCGACGACGCGATAGTTCGTCGGCATGGAACGACAGGCATCAAAGTATGGAATCTCCGCGGGCCATCTCATCGCCAGAAACGCGAAGGGGCCGTTTGCGGAGAAATCGGGCACCCAGGACGGCAGGCCCTCAATCTTCTTGACCGAGTCATCGGGAACCGCCGTCAGGAGAGCCAGATTATTGCACTCTTCCATGATGAAGACTGCCGTGTCGGTGTATATGCTGATAGGCGTGCAGTGTTTGCGGTAGTTTGCCTCCAGCTCCGTCCTCGTCCGGCCGCTGAGATCCAAGAGGAGGTTGAGGATGCCCAGCAGACCAAACACCTGGTCTCTGGGGTCGGTGGCTTCCACTCCGACTGTCAAGCGTAACATAAGGAACAAGAGCGCACCAGCTGTCTTGGTTCTGCTGCTCCCACCCGTGCAGGCGAGGGGGCCGACAATGTGATCCAGTGTGGTGCTGTCCCACATGTCGAGGATGTCGTGTCTACACCTCTGGATTGCGACGATGCCCGACGAATTGCTACCGATCTTGACGTCCTTGATCGTAGGGTTGTCATCGTACAAGACCTCCGACAACTGCTGGTACAGACGACTTTCATACAAAAAGTCGGAGCAAAATGCCACTGTCTCCCACGGAATAACATCGCTGCCCCAGAGGATACATGCGTCTTTTGATAAGGCAACCTCCTGGACGACCCAAACGCGGTTGAACCACTTGCGTTCGAAAAAGGCAACGAAGGCGTACCACACGTCATCGGGAACATGTAGCAGGCCGTATCTGCTCAGAGCATCGTCGTCAAAGAAGGAGTTTTCCTGGTCGAAGCTGAAGTTTCGCTGGGTATTCTCGGCCATTGTACGAACAAGTCTGGATACCTCAGCCGGGTGGTGGTCTTCGGTGACGGAGCCTAACCATATGTCGACGCGGGTGGCCTTTTTGTAGATGCGGTCCATGATGCCAACTTGAATGCTGCGCTCAATGTCATCGGCCTGGTTGATGCTGATGGCATCGACCCAGTACAGGTCGCAGGAGTTGTGCGCTCTGATCCAGCACAATGCATCGTAAAGATTCGGAAACACGTCAAAACTGTGGCCATTGAGTATCACTGATATTGTTACGGGCTGCTGTTCGATTTGCCGAGCGGGCTCCATTTCTGCGAGGGGCGGACCCCATGTGTATGAGAGGCCTCGGTATGCTGGCAGGTCAGCAACAGCGTGTTCTTCGAGTAAAAGCTGCAACGATTCATCTTGAGATGCGCCGCAACCTAGGATGCGCACAAGACGAATGGTTTCCTTGCCGATACAGTGGCTGTATTCGAACTTTGCTGTCCCAGACGACATGGCTGTAGACCGGGGAGCATCCTACACGGTATTTTCTTTCTCGTAATCCTCACTAGATAGAGAGGATTGTACGGGGACTCAAACGCTTTTGTAATTGCCAAATTGAATGTAAGCCAGACATCATGACTTAATTAGCCACGTATGACTTTGGAAGAATCGTCAGCTGCATCGTTAGGAGCAAGACTAAGACGGCGCCAACTTTGGTTCTCACGCACGGCTTGACTGCGCCGCACAATTGGTCAATCATTGAAGACATTTTTGGTAGCAAAGCATGTCGCTTGACATTGAAAACTGACGAAGGATTAAAGCCGTCCAAGAGAATGACGCGCCAGGTTGTCGTTGAATGTCTTGTGAAGTTGTTCTTTTTAGGATCGATAACTGCGAGTTGGAGGTGGAGGATGCGGGTGTAAGTGGGCAAGGGCAATAAGTGGCGGACGTCTTAAGTAAGCATTGGTGAGGTAAGCAGACTAAATAGATGGGCCCTGGGGCCTGGTGCACGTGAAAGCGTGTTTGAGTGGCGACGCGGGTCGGGTCGCGCTTTGCCCCAAATCAACATCGGGCCCTCGACCGGGAATATTGGTCTTATTCTTTTTCCTCCATCTTCATCCGCAACTCCTCTGCTGGTCTTTGCGAATAACCACCCCGGGACTGCGCATATTCTGCAACCGCAGCATTGCTACTGCACCAATCGCGGCTCAAAATGTACGCAATTCTAGTCCAATGCCTCTCCAACTAACACGGCACTGTATTAACCCCTCTACAGGACCGTCGACGTCACCGCCACCCCGATCGCGAACAAGGAGAACGTGCCGTCTAAGAGATGGCCGACTCCTCAGTCAGTTGATAAGCTGTCAAGACCGTTCAAATGTCCCGGATCAGCAACGAGAACAGTCGCAACCGACAGACCGGCACGAAAGAAGAGAAGGGTCGATTACAAGGGTGCTGATGGCGAGACCGACGCCGACAAGCCCTACACAAATGCCGATCGCCTGGCCTTAGCGAATCGAGATGCGAACAGATTTCCCATATTTCAGGCCAAGGACAAGTCAACTGTGTTTCGCAAAGCATTCTCGGTGCCTTTGATCAACAAGGATTCGAGTGCCTATAACCCGAACCGACCTCCACCAACACTTGGTCTGCGCACTGGAGCACAATTCATTGCGAAGCCGCTACACGACCCCAGTGGCGAGTTCTCCATTGTGCTCTACGACCCGACCATCGACGATAAGCCCAAAGAGCCCGAAAAGAAGGAAGACAAGAAAGATGCTGAGGCCGAGACTAAGATTGACGCGCCTCTCGTCCACAAGAGTCTGGCTGAGATCCTAGGAATCAAGAAGAAGGTCGAAGGAGAGCACCCCCGGGTTCCCGTCGTCATCGATCCACGACTGGCCAAGGTTCTGAGACCACATCAGGTTGAGGGTGTCAAGTTCATGTACAGATGCGTCACTGGCATGATTGAGGAGAAGGCCAATGGCTGCATCATGGCAGACGAGATGGGTCTCGGCAAGACCCTTCAATGTATCACTTTGCTCTGGACTCTCCTGAAGCAATCCCCGGATGCTGGAAAGAGTACCATCCAGAAGGCCATCGTTGCATGCCCTTCCAGTTTGGTGCGCAACTGGGCCAACGAATTGGTCAAGTGGCTTGGCGCTGATGCCGTCACGCCTTTTGCAATCGACGGAAAGGCGTCAAAGGAAGAGCTGACGCGACAGCTGCGTCAGTGGGCCATTGCGAGCGGCAGAGCAGTCACGAGACCGGTCATTATCGTGTCTTACGAGACCCTGCGTCTCAACGTTGAGGAGTTGAAGCACACCAAGATCGGCCTGATGCTTTGCGACGAGGGTCATCGCCTCAAGAACGGAGACAGTCAGACTTTCAGTGCGCTCAATAACCTGAATGTCACAAGACGAGTCATATTGTCCGGAACTCCCATCCAGAACGACTTATCCGAGTACTTTGCCTTGATCAGCTTTGCCAATCCGGATCTGCTTGGTACTCGTCTGGAGTTCCGCAAAAGATTCGAGCTTCCGATCCTCCGCGGACGTGACGCTGACGCACTCGAGTCTGAACGGAAAAAGGGTGACGAGTGCCTGGCTGAGCTCTTGGGCATTGTCAACAAGTTCATCATTCGCCGCACAAACGACATCCTGTCCAAGTACCTGCCCGTCAAGTATGAGCATGTTGTGTTCTGCAATCTTGCACCCTTTCAGCTTGATCTCTACAACTACTTCATCACCAGTCCGGACATTCAGGCGCTTCTCCGTGGCAAGGGCAGTCAACCCCTCAAAGCCATCAATATCCTCAAGAAGCTCTGCAACCACCCTGATCTGCTCAATATTTCGGATGATTTGCCCGGCTCAGAAAATTGCTACCCCGACGACTATGTACCCAAAGAGGCGCGTGGCAGAGATAGAGATATCAAGCCGTGGTACTCAGGCAAGATGCAAGTCCTTGACCGCATGCTCGCCCGTATCCGCCAGGACACAAACGACAAAATTGTACTTATCAGCAATTACACATCGACGCTTGATCTGTTCGAGAAGCTCTGCCGCAACCGCGCTTACGGCTGCCTGCGTCTTGACGGCACCATGAACGTCAACAAGCGTCAGAAGCTTGTCGACAAGTTCAATAACCCAGACGGAGAGGAGTTTGTATTCCTCCTCAGTTCCAAGGCCGGTGGCTGCGGTCTCAACCTCATCGGCGCCAACCGCCTGGTCCTCTTCGACCCCGACTGGAACCCCGCCGCAGATCAACAGGCTCTCGCTCGTGTATGGCGTGACGGCCAGAAGAAGGATTGCTTCGTCTACCGCTTCATCACCACGGGCACCATTGAGGAGAAGATTTTCCAGCGCCAGTCTCACAAGCAATCGCTGTCCAGTTGCGTCGTCGACTCAGCCGAGGACGTTGAGCGGCACTTTTCGCTCGGCAGTCTGCGCGAGCTGTTCCAGTACCGGCCCGGAACCAAGTCTGATACCCACGACACGTTCAAGTGTAAGCGGTGCAAGCCCGATGGCAGGCAGTATATGAAGTCGCCTGCCATGCTGTACGGCGACACGAGCACGTGGAATCACTTTGTGAATGAGGGGTTGAAACCGATTCAGGATCTGCTGCTGAGGCAGGAGTGTGGGGAGCCAGAGGTGTCTGCTGTGTTCCAGTATATTTCGCATTAGAGCGTTGTCTTTGACGGAAGGGGTATGTGCATGTATTATGAACATGTGGCTTCTTTGTCTTTGAAGAAGTCAACAGAGGGTGTTTGGCGTCGTATGAATTCGTAAATGGCAAAGGTGTTACGGGGGCTTTGCTTGATACACTGGACTTTATGAGAGGTCCGTATGAACATATTACATGAGCTAGAAATATCCACATTTGTAGAAAAGACGTGGTGGGCATGTCGAGCGTTTCGTTTCTACCTTCAAGATCAAGTCAAAATAAGAGAACATTTCATGAAATCCGATTGTTCGTTTTTTCCCTGTCTTTCTATATAATGCTCAATGCTTCGCGCAACTCTACACAAGAATCGTACCTAGAAAAAGTCTTGATGTGTGTCTATAGCTCGTCTCTGTCATGGGTCTGTTCCGAGGGCGGCTCCTCCCAGTTGCGGCTCTTGGTGTTCTTCTCCACCTCGACGACAGCAGGCTTCTGCTCAGACTCGTCCACGACAACCTTGGGCGCCTCAGCGGGCAGACCCTTGCGCTTGCGGTCGAGCGCGGCAATCTCGTCGTCGTAGACGGTCCACTCGGGCACCTGGCGCCGTGCGCGATCGAGCTTGGGCTCCTTTGTCTGCGGGTTGTTGCAGAGGTCAATCGTCTTTGCGGCGCGCTGGCTCTCGTCGGAGCACCACGTCTCGCACCACAGCCACTCCTGCGGCAGGCTGTGAATGGGGATCTGGAACTGCATATGGTTGGGCAGGTCCTGGTCGAGGTTGGCGAGACTGTTGGGGTCGGCGCTGAGGGAGTGGTACGTCTGGCGGAGGCGGTCGCCCGCGGCGAGCTCGCGGAAGCGACGGAGGTCGACGACGTAGAGGGCTGAGATGTGGTAGGGTTGTCCGCGGAGGTAGTTTGCCCAGTAGCCCTGTTTCCAGAAGCGGAAGCCTTCCATTTCGGTGCGGGAGTCGCACATGGGGGTGAAGCCGTAGGGTTTGCCCTCGAGGTCGTGGTTGACGAGGGACATCATGTCGGTGCGGACGATTTGGTCGGCGTCGACGAAGATGACCTTGTCGAGGGAGAGGGGGAAGAGCACGTCAAGGAAGAGGATCTTGTAGCCCCAGATCTCGCGCTGCTTCTCCTTCTGCTGACGCAGCCAGTGAGGCCACTTGAAGGTCACCATCTCGTACTTGAAGCCGTATTCCTTGGCCATATGCGGGATGAAGTCCTTGAAGGAGGGAGAGAGGAACTGCTCAATGAACCAGAACTTGACCGTGTGCTTGGTGTTCTTCATGACGCTGACCATCATGATGTTGAGCATGCGCTCGTAGAGATGGCCGCTGGCGACGGAGAAGATGTTGATCTCGGCGTGCTCCTCGTCAGATGCTGACTTCTTCTTGCCCAAGATGCCTTCGGCGAATTTGAGGCCGCGGCCGACGATGCTGTTGTTCTCAGGCTCGGCCAGCACGTCAGACTCTTCTTGGCCTGGCTTGCGTGACAGGCGAGGGTACAGAGTCGTGCCTTGGAAGTCCATCAGCACCACCTCGGTACCCTCATCGCCCGGCACGGGAGCCCATCCCTTCGCACCAATGCTATCGATGGTGTAAATGTCGGTGCTCCTGCCCTCCTTGAGCTTGATGTTGTAAAAGCCTGGGTTTGCCTTGAATTGGAAGTATCCGAGGTTGGCCATGATCAGGGTGTCGGCGAAGTGAGGCTCCTTCTCGGTGCCCAAAACGACCTGCGCGCCGCGGGGAGGCTGCGACTGTCCTCCCTCACGAGAGTGTCCTTCAATGAGGATACTCTCAAGCTCGTATGAGGCGTGCACGTTCGACTTGATGGCGCTGAGTTTGATGTTGTCCGGGTCGAAGGGCGAGACTTTGGGTGCAACGAGCCAGGATGGTGGGACGTCCATGCCGGCATTAAGGAGAGCCTCGGAGGGCAAGCTCTTGAAGGATGCCTCAAGTGCGCGAACCTTGCCAGCTTCATCAAACGTCGGCTCTGACTCAAGCACGTATCGGAAGAATCTCTTCACAGGCAGCTCGTCAATCTTATCCTTCGGGTTAAGGAAGAGCTTCAGATACACGCCCTCTAGCTCGGCGACAACCTTGAGGATAGGCGCCCACCGTTGCGCCTGCTCACTGGCAGGGTTGAGAACACCGACCAAATGGATGCTTGATGTCTCGGGGTTTCCAATTTCAATGGCAGTGTAGGTTGAGTTCCAAGCATCGTGGGCACTGACACGCAATGATGGCGCAGACTCGAAAATGCCAGCAGGGAGGTCAGAGATGGTTGACAGCGCCGTGACTGACGTGATCTTAGCAGCCGCCAGAGGGCCAGAAATCTTGTCTGTCAATCCAAGCTCATCCACAGCTGCGTAGACGGGGAGGATACGGGCCTTCTGCTCAAACTCCAAGAGGAACTGGAAGTCATCGCCTTGGAAGGGGTCATCTTCAGTGAAAGGTCCAACGACACGGCCATTGAGGATAAGTAGGTTGGAACCCGGCTTAACCGCGGCGAAGGAGAGGAACTCATTGAGGGCCGCAGTGTAGATTGCGTCCGAATCACTAGTGGCGGCCTTGAGGAGGTCTTTGATATCGGAAACAGTCTCAGCTTCAGCAAACTTGTCACCGCCATTCTTCAATGCCGTGTTTACACTAGAAGCTGAGGCAGATGCTGAAGGGTTGTGAACGGTGTCAAGACGCACGCCAGGGTTGTTGCGACGGAAAGCCAAAGCTGACAGAAGAAGGTTTGCTCCCTCGTCGGAGGTGAAATCGCCCACTACCGTCAGAACAGCCCAGTTCTCTTTCGTCGAGTCTGCATAAGCCTCAATCACTGGGACCTTGCTGAAGAGACCGTCATAGTCGGTGTAGATCTTGTTGACATCGAGGACCTGCAGGGACTTCTCATCTTCTGGGTAGATGTAGGTGTTGCGACGCTTGACGGCCTTCTCAAGGAAGAAGTCCGGAATCCAGCTCTTCTCATCAACCATGCCCAGATAAACGGCGCGCTGAATCGCTTGCAAGTCACTGGAAGCCTTCATGCTCATTGCCTGAAGCCAGTTGTTCTCGCGAGGAACCGGAATACCGTTGATGAAGACGGGTGGAACGGGCGTGTTTGCGTTGAGTCTCTTTGCCCAGTTCTTGGCCAGCTTGACGATGCCATCGAGCTCGTCCGACTCCACCACTTCGGCAAAAGAAAGTATCTTCGAATCCGCATCCGGAAGAGGCTCACGGTCCTGGATCGCCTTGTCGAACGAGCCTTGGTCCGGCTTCTCAGTCTTGGAAGCCTGCATAGCAGCATCGAGGTACTCAATGAAGACATCTAAGCCGTAGTTGTCGAGGAGATAGTACAGAACCTTGCTGATTTGGAATGCTTCCTCAGTGGGCGTTAGAGGAACCAGACCGAAACGAATAGGAAGCTTCCGCTGAACGAAGGAGTTCATCTGAGCCACCACGCTGAGATCCTCCATCTTGGAGAAGTCAACTGGGATGATGAGGTTGAAGATGTCGCGCTTGATGGGAGGCAGCTGGCCAGGGTAAACACGCTGAAGGAGCTGGGGTAAGTTAGCATCTGGGACTTGGTAGAGAGGGATAGCTCGGACTAACCGAAGTCAATTGATCAGGGAAATCTTGGTAACGCTCATCCTTCTCGAGGTCGTTGAGGAACATGATGACCTGCTCCTCCTCAAGGTCATCCGTCCAGTCGAAGCGCGGGGGCTCCTCGTCTGACTTGGACTCGGCAACCTTGGGATGGCCAAGGAGAGACACAGCTTGGCCTCCCGTAAAGCCAAGATCGCGAACGCCGTCGATAAGCTTGCGCTCGCAGCGGAGGAGATCAATGATGGTGAATGCCTCAATCTGGCGCTCAATGAGCTGGACTCCGTTCATCCAAAGCACGTTCATACCGCTAGGAACCAATTGTTGGCGATTAAGCTGGTGCTCGGCGAGGAACTCAGCAGACACATTGTGAGCGGCGATGGAGGTCGAGAACTTAGGGAAGTCTTGCGACAACTTGACGAGCGTCTCAAAGGGGTTCTGGCTCTGCATGACAAAAGATGCTGCCTTCAGACCAAGTTCCTGTACCTCGGACTTTGATAGCGGCTTCAGGTCAGCCACCTCTTCTGCAGCGTCCAAGACCTCCTCAGTCTTGACAACCTTCTGCGAGTCATCCTGGTGCGCCTCTCGGTCATCAATGACGATGTAGTCGGTCCTCTTCAAGGCCAACTCGACTCCGTACCCGCTGACGGGTAGAGGCTCCTCGTACTTTCCAGGAGGCTTTGTGTAACGCAGACGGTATTCGAGCTTTCCATTGCGAGCCTTCTGAGCCAGAGCCTTGTGGAAAGAACCGAAAGAAGACGAAGTCGGGTCTGCGTATAAGATGGCCTCCTTGCCAGATCCTAGAACTCGGTCGAAAGGCAGCACCTTCGCGCCGTCCAGCGTCGAATCCTTGGCGCTGTCTAGAGACGGAGTGCAATACTGTTTTCCTCCTTGCTCGGCCCAGATTTCACAGCCATCTTGAGTCTTGGCTCCGAGCTTTGGCTCTACAGCGGTCCGGTAGTATTGATAGTGGGCTTCAATACGAGGAGCGGCGGTCCGCAAGGAAAGGGCCAGCTTGAAGGTAGATAGGGCGTCAGGTGTGGTGATGTGGCCATCCTCGTTTAGTGTGTGGAGGAACTTGTCGTAGACCTCTTTATCAGTCTTGGCTTCGCTGAAGTGGCCGCTGGCAATGCGATCGAGGAGAGGGAAGTAGGCAGTTGCGTTTTCACCCGCAGCGGTCTCACTAGAACGATTGTGTTAGCCAGCAGTGAGAGAAATAAGGGGTAAGCATTGAACAAATTCACTTACAGCAGCTCGAGAAGATAGGGGCCAGACGGGAAGGCAGCCTTCATATCCACCGTCACAGAGGGGACCGCAGCGACATTGACGGCTGCCAACAGCGATAGGCCAAAGCCCACTGGCAGTTGCGACAACCGCACCATGGTGAAGGAGGGAGCGCGACGGCCGGCGCAAGGCTGTCCTCCAGATTGGTCGGTACTTGCAACAAGTTGTTGGCTTGGGGGGTCGAGAGAAAGCGAATTGGGGTTCTTTTGAGTCGAGACCGGGTGGAAGGAATTCCCGACGACTTGTTTCTTCCTGCCAAGAAGGTGGACGGCAAGGTTGGGTGAATATTTAAGGCAGACAGCTTCTGAAAGAAAGTGTCTTGGACTTGGAGGAAAAGGGCAGGGACGCCGAAGAAGGTGTTTTATTTATCGCCTCTGTCGCATGGCGGGTGCAAGAATGCTTGGAGGGGTTTCTAGAGAGGAATTCCGTTTAGGCGGGCCAAACGTATTCGTAGGTAATACGGTTTAGGAGTTGCTCAGTCCGGGGCCGGTGTAAGTGACGGCACCTTCTGAACACATTGACAAAAGAGCTGTACCAAAGTAGACTAGCGTCTGGTCTCCTACCTAGGGACGTCAGGGGTATTAGGTCCACGGGGAGGAACGGCAGAAAAACGGGCCTATTGGAGGGGCATTTGCTTACCTCAGCTTCGCCAAGTTCAAGACCCGCATCTGGTAGCATGGCAGTGCATGGCACCTCATTGAAAGGTAGAGTGAATGGTGTCTTCCAGATTATGTAAGGTGCAGAAGCACAGGCGGGCGGTGAGGACACGGTGGTCGGCGGAACTCTGATGCGGGAGCTCCTGTCAATCGGCGCCAATGGACCCACAGAAATAACCCACACTTTACAGATGGCCACGAAGCGGAATTGTTACTAGGGGCTCTGAGACGAGGAAGTGGCCTTTACGTATCTCTCTACCTTACCTCGCTACGGATACTTCTACGCATCCAACCCCTTCACCGCGTCCTCTTCGTGACCTCGTGAATGTCACCATCCCCTTCGATTCCAGCTGCAGCCTTTCTTGGTCGGTAAGCTGGCTTGCACTTGATTCCATTTCCTACCAGAGGTGCCGCCTGATTTCCCCCCCTGCTGGTTGCTAGAAGCTCCGGCTTCACCTCCCCGCCAAAATGCAGGCCTCCTCGGGCATGTTGACCAAGGTACGCTCCGCCCTCGGCGCATTGGGTCTCGAATGAGATTCTATGCTCTGTTCGAGTCCATTGCTCACGTAGTGTACAGTTCGAGTCCAAGTCTTCCCGCGCAAAGGGCATCGCCTTCCACCCCAAGAGGTGAGCTTTCAACTCATAGCTTCCCATTACCAAGTCTGCCCCCTTGCTGACGAACAGCTACCAGACCATGGATCCTCGTCGCACTTCACTCCTCCACGATTCAGCTTTGGGATTACCGCATGGGAACATTGATCGATCGATTCGAAGAGCACGATGGCCCGGTTCGAGGAATTGACTTCCATAAGACACAACCCCTCTTCGTTTCTGGAGGCGACGACTACAAGATCAAGGTTTGGTCCTACCAGACCCGCCGATGCCTCTTCACCCTAAACGGCCATCTCGACTACGTTCGCACCGTCTTCTTCCATCATGAGTTGCCATGGATTCTGTCAGCATCCGACGATCAGACTATCAGGATATGGAATTGGCAAAACCGCTCCCTGAGTGCGCCCAACCCTTAGGATCCCGCAATACCCGTGAGCGTGACTGACCTTGATTCGCAGTCTGCACCATGACAGGACACAACCACTACGCCATGTGCGCCCAATTCCACCCGAAGGAAGACCTCGTCGTCTCTGCCTCCCTCGACCAGTCTGTCCGCGTCTGGGACATTTCCGGCTTGCGCAAGAAGCACTCGGCTCCGACATCGATGACCTTCGAAGATCAGGTCGCGCGCGCGAACCAGAACCAGACCGACATGTTTGGTAACACCGATGCTGTTGTCAAGTTTGTCCTGGAAGGCCATGACCGTGGTGTCAATTGGGTTGCGTTCCACCCGACTATGCCACTAATTGTGTCTGCTGGCGACGACCGACTCGTCAAGCTGTGGCGCATGAGCGAAACGAAGGCCTGGGAGGTCGATACCTGCAGGGGACACTTCCAGAACGCCTCCGGCTGCTTGTTCCACCCCCACCAAGACTTGATCCTGTCCGTCGGCGAAGATAAGACCATCCGTGTCTGGGACCTCAACAAGCGCACTGCGGTGCAGTCTTTCAAGCGCGAGAACGACCGATTCTGGGTTATTGCCGCCCACCCCGAGATCAACTTGTTCGCTGCTGGCCATGACAACGGTGTCATGGTTTTCAAGCTGGAGAGAGAGAGACCGGCATCGTCCGTATACCAGAACAATCTCTTCTACATCACCAAGGAGAAGCATGTCAGATCCTACGACTTCCAGAAGAGTACCGAGAGCCCGACTTTGCTCTCCCTCAAGAAGCTTGGAAGCCCCTGGACCCCGCCGCGCACCTTGTCGTACAACCCGGCTGAGCGCTCCGTTCTCGTAACCTCCCCCTCCGACAGCGGATCTTACGAACTGATCAACCTTCCTCGCGATGGTTCCGGGGCCATTGAGCCCACTGAGTCGAAGCGCGGCCAGGGCAACTCAGCCATCTTCGTCGCGCGCAACCGCTTCGCTGTGCTGAACACCTCTAGCCAGACAATCGACATCAAGGATCTTTCCAACAACACGACCCGTTCCTTCAAGCCTCCCGTCGGAACCAGCGACATCTACTTCGGTGGTACCGGCAACCTCCTCATCATCACGCCCACCGTCGTTCATCTCTACGATATCCAACAGAAGAAGAGCGTCGCTGAGTTGGCTGTTAACGGTGTCAAGTACGTTGTGTGGTCGAACGACGGGCTGTACGCGGCACTCTTGAGCAAGCATAACGTTACCATCGTGACGAAGACCCTTGAGCAGGTCAGCACATTGCACGAGACTATCCGGATCAAGAGTGCAACCTGGGACGACGCTGGTGTTCTGCTGTACTCAACCCTCAACCACATCAAGTACACGCTCCTCAATGGCGACAACGGTATCGTCCGCACCCTGGACCAGACTGTCTACTTGGTCCGTGTCAAGGGCCGTAACGTTTACTGCCTTGATAGAGCGGCCAAGCCCAAGGTTCTCCACGTCGATCCCACTGAATACCGGTTCAAGCTGGCCCTCGTCAAGCGTAACTACGAGGAGATGCTGCACATCATCCAGAACTCCAGTCTCGTTGGTCAATCCATCATCTCCTACCTTCAGAAGAAGGGATACCCTGAGATTGCTCTGCAGTTCGTGCAGGACCCCGCGACCCGCTTCGAGCTCGCAATCGAGTGCGGAAACCTCGACGTTGCGGTCGAGACTGCAAAGGAGCTGGATCGTCCTAAGCTTTGGCAGAGGCTGAGCGCCGAGGCTTTGGCCCACGGAAACCACCAGGTCGTCGAAATGGCCTACCAAAAGCTTAAGCAGTTCGACAAGCTGTCATTCCTGTACCTGTCTACTGGTGACCACTCTAAGCTGGCTCGTATGGCCAAGATTGCCGAGCACAGAGGTGACTTTACTGCACGTTTCCAGAACGCTCTCTACCTCGGCGAGGTTGAGGACAGAATCCAGATGTTCAAGGAAATCGATCTCTGTAAGTTGTTGCAATGCAAGCAGTACTCAGACTTCTACTAACAGGACACAGACCCGTTGGCATACATGACCGCAAAGTCCCACGGCTTGGAGGAGGAGTGCCAGGCTATTCTTGAGGCCACTGGTCTCACCGAGGACCAATTGGAGACGCCTACGATTGGGGAGGCTCTGACGCCCCCCAAGCCTGTCGTCCCCACCTTCAAGGCAAACTGGCCTACCAAGGCCACTTCCCAATCCACCTTCGAGAAGGCCCTGCTTGGCCAGGTTGAGGGACTGTCTTTGGAGGATGCACCTGCAGCTGCCAACGGCTTTGACGATGCTGTCGAGGACGATGTCGTTGCGAAGAAGAATGGCAACCTCATCGACGTCGATGACGACGAGGACGCGGCAGGCTGGGATCTCGGCGATGATGTCGTCCCCGAGATTGAGGGCGACTTTGTCAACGTTGACAGTGCCGACGCTGGTGGCGCTGGAAGCAGTGAGGCCGAACTCTGGGCTCGTAACTCTCCTCTGGCTGTGGATCATGTTGCCGGTGGCTCATTTGAGTCAGCAATGCAACTCCTCAACAGACAAGTCGGAGCAGTCAACTTTGCGCCGCTTAAGCCCCGCTTCCTCGAAGTCTACCAGGCATCAAAAACGTATCTCCCGGCCTCTGCAAACCTTCCCCCGTTGGTCAACTATGTACGACGTACGATTGAAGAGACGGACCCTAGAAAGGTGTTGCCCATTGTACCGAGGGATCTCGAGTTCCTGGCAACCAACGACCTTCAGCAGGGTTACAACTCGATGAAGACGAACAAGCTCGAGGACGGTTTCCAGGTCTTCAAGGGTATCCTCCACGCCATCCTAATCAACGCCGTTACAAGCGAAAGCGAGGTCGCCGAGGCAAAGAAGCTCATCACATCCGCCAGCGAGTACGCCGTCGCCATGGAGATCGAGCTCAGCCGTCGCAAACTCGGCACAACTGGTGAGCAGCTCAAGCGCAACCTTGAGCTGTCAGCCTACTTTACCATCCCCAAGATTGAGGTTCCTCATCGCCAGCTGGCCCTGCACAACGCGATGCAATTGGCGATAAGAAACAAGAACTACGGTTCAGCACTGAGCTTTGCCAATCGCATTATTGCCAATGGCGGCTCCAGCAAGCTGACCGAAAACGTGAGTACAGCCCTTGCATCCCAAAAATCTCCCGACTAACGCCGTTTGCAGGCCAAGAAAGCCAAGGCTCAATGCGAGCGCAACCCCTCGGATGCGATTGAAATCGAGTTTGACCAGTTTGCCGAGTTTGATATCTGCGCGGCCAGCCACTCACCCATTTACAGCGGCACTTCCTACGAAGAGTGCGCCTTCGACGGCTCCAAGTACCACAGCAAGTACAAGGGCACCGTTTGCAAGGTCTGCGGGGTGTGCGAGGTTGGCAAGCACGGCAGTGGCCTGAAGCTCTTTGCGTAAAAGAGCTAGCTAGTATAATAGATGTCGACCCATGATGGGGTGAAGGCTGCATGATTGGTGCAGTAACGCTCGGCCGATGGGGGAAATGGTCTTGGGAAAAGTTTACAGTAGACAGACTGGAGTGTCTGATGAAAACCCCGGGCTCTTGATTGTTAGCAATAGTTTTGTGGGAGACGAATATATGTCATCATTTGATCCATGACCTCTGATGTGTCGACGTAGATTTGAGAGCTTGGTTTCTGGGACAATGCATTGCCCAGCCGTATGAGTAGTACAGATACTCGCTGTTTGCCTGGAGTACCGGGATTCTCAAATTCACATTTCACGCCGCATAGCAAGCCCATATGGAGATCGTTAACGCCCAGCTTGGATTCCTGTATCCGAGCTTCCTCTTTCATGGTCTAATCGCATGATATTAATACAACCAAAAACAACCCGTTTCCTCCAAATCATGTAAAATTCTCGGGGTTTACACAATGGTCTCCAGTTCCCTGGCGTATCCCAGCGCATTCTCTATCACCATCTGGCTCATCTCCTTCTCGGTGGTGCCGTCCTCGGCGGCGACGCCCTCGGCGGTGTCTGGGAAGAAGATGTGGCCCTCCTTCAGAATCCAGCCGCGGGCCTGGGCAAAGGAGATGACGTCGCCCTCGGAGTCGAGGAAGAGGAGGGATTTGGCGGAGCTGATGGGCAGGCTGGGGTATGCGCGCTCGCTGCTTGAGGCGATTTCGGAGCGGATTTGGAAGGTGAGGATCTTAAGAAACCACGGAATTAGCATCAAGTGTTTCTGCTTTTGAGGATCATTTTGGAGTGATGAGGCAAATTTGTGAACGGGTTAGGGGGGGCATTACCTCTGAGAAGACACCGTACTCCTCGCTAGGCACCTCACGGCTCTTGAGGGCGTTCCATACGCGATCGTAGCTGCCCTCCATCAACCACCTCTCAAGACGAATCGGGTAGCCCAAGTACTTGTCCCCCTCGACGGCGCTGCTATCGCCGCCGCCCTCGCGGTTCGCAAGACTCTCGAGCTCCGAGTGGAATTCGGCGTAGCGGCCCTGGGTGAGGAGCAGGAGCAGGTAGAGGCCGGTGACCTTGTTGCGCTCGGGGACGTTGGGCGGGAGGAGGTTGGAGGGGAGCTCGTAAAAGGGCTGGAGCTGCTGGACGTAGCGGGTGAAGGCGTCGGGGTTCTTTGCGCGGATGGAGGCGAGAGCGCCGAGCTCGTAGGTCTCGCGGGCGAGGGCGAGGAGCTGGGGCGAGGTTTTGGGGTTGGAGGGGGTGAGGGCGTTGAGCTGGAGGAGGTGGAGTTTTGCTTTGGAGAGGAGGGCGGAGGATTCGGGGTAGGGGAGGGAGGAGCCCTTTGATTTGAGCTGGGTGAGGACTTGTTGGAGGTTGCGGTCTGCCATTTTTGGTGGTGGTGGTTGTGTGTGTGTGTGTGTGTGTGTATATATGTTGTTGCGGGGTGATTGGGTTGGTGTACCGGTTGTCGGGGATTGATGTCGGCAACGGGCGTGGAACGTCGGGAGGTATTTGATGTTGTGGGAGGTCGATTGACAAGGTTGCCTCGTTGTGGTTTCGTGGAGAGGAAATGGAGAGACGTGGGTTCCGTGGTGGTGATGATCGTGTCAAAGGTTGAAGTGTCCGAATGCTAAGGTAAGGTAGGTTCGACGGTTTGGGTGTTTGGCTCAGCAGGCTGAGAGAGGCTGACGAAAGGTGCCGTCAAGCTGGCCAGGTCCGTGCAGGGGTCCTGCCCACTATGGCGCTAGCTCTTATGGGCTTAGGGGATTCTGGAGCTGCCTTGGAGCTGGTCATCAACGGAAGCGTCGAGTTGCTTTGCTGAGGTAATGGACCGGGAGCTGGGGACACGTGACGCGGCATCGGAAGGTTTCGCCGGGGCCCGGTCCCCTGTTCCCGTTCGCTCCCATTTCCCCAACTCCCGTCCCATCACCCCGCCGTGCCGGATTCCGGTAGCATCTGGGAGAGTCCTGCTTGTCTTCCCGCACCTCCCATCCGGTAAGTCGGCATCGCGACGCGCGAAAGCGTATGATCTTTCGGGCAATTTTCGAAGCTTCTTTCTGCATGATGAGCCAGCGTACCTAGTCAAAATCTACTTCCGTTGACGATGCTGCAAGCGAAACCGAGGTACATGATCTCTAAATTCTCAACGAGGTCGGGTACCTTTGCATCAGATACCTTGCGCATCGATACTCTGACAGGTTCCGCTTCTAAAGGCCCAGCAGTGAGAAGCTTTGGCTCTGCGCTCGTCAAAGGAAGCCATTTACACGGTTTCCGGGTTTGACTTGTCTCGGATCTCACAGGGATCGCCTTCAGGAGTGAAGAGTACACGATGTTGGCTGTTGTGGCCCATGATTATCACCTCCTGATGGCCAGGACCTCACTATGAAAGCACCGCAAGGCGTCGACAGACCGACATCAATGAGCATGCCGGAAGTTATGAACCAAAGGTTATTAGGAACTATTTTCTCTCATTTTCATTCCCGCTATAGAAGACTTCCAAGTCCCTCGAAAGAAAAACACGCCAAAGAGTACACCCGCCCTGGAGGAAACCCCGCTACGAAATTACAATCTTCTTGATATAGCTCATCATCTCATTCTCTTCCTTGTCAAACGAGTCAAAAAATGGCTCAACCCGCAACAAATTCTCAATCTCGTCCTGATCGGGAATCTTCTGCTTCATGTAGTTGACGGGCCCATCCTCAATCGAATGCGGGATGAACACCGAGGCATTGGTCGTGATGGGCGTGCCATCCTCCCGGATCCCCATGCCCACCGGATCGCCGTCGACGAGCCACATACCCAGCACGGGATACCACGAGCTGCCCTTGGCGTCCTTGAACTCGGGAAGCACGGCGAGCTCCTGCACGATGTACCCTTCCGCATCGTAGTCTCCCGTCGACGCGTCCTGCAGGATCTCGCCGTCCTTCTTGAGCACCACGTCGGCGCCCTCGCGCGCAAAGATGGGCTTCCGCGCAAAGCTCGTCATGGAGGCGGGCGCTTCGTTGTCAAAGTATGTGGGGAGAAGCCACTTGCCCCGCGGGTCGTCCTTGAACATATCCCAAAGAACAGCAAAGACGGCTTTGTTGCTCCACAGGAGCTTGTACGGCGGCTCCATCCAGACTGTTCCTCCGATGTAGTTCCCCTCCTCGTCGCGCTTGCCGATATTCTCCATATCCTCGAAAAACGCCTCGCCAAACTGCTGGTCGACCATATACTCCCACGGGTAAAGCTTGAAAATAACATCGATATGCTCCCCCTGCGCATCATAGAACCGCCCATCCTTTTTCGATTTCGCAATCTCCTCCATCGTCAGCGCCTTGGTCGTCCACCCTGCCTGCTGGCACGTCTCCATCAGGAGCATGGTATTCATGGCATCCTCCCCCGTGGCCTCGCCCTCGCCGACGGCAAAGTGCACAGTCGGCTTATGCCCCAGCTCCTTCTCGACGAGCATTATATTGCGCTTCCAGCCTTCAATAAGCTTCTCCGTGATGCTGTTGAACTGGTCGTTTCCGTGGCCCGTCTGCTCCATCCACAGCCACTGGATGGACGCCGCGTCGAGCAGCGACGTCGGCGTGTCGGCGTTGAACTCGTAGAACTTGGGCACGCGCAGCCGCGGGTCCGGGTGCGCGAGCCCGCCGAAGCAGACGTCGAAGCGGCCGTAGATGCTGCCCCAGGCCGGTTCGCGATCTCATGAGGCTTTGATTTGTTTCAGGGCGAAGGCGGGGACGGCCATTTTCTTGGTGATGATGTCTGGGTGTTCTACGAGGTAGTCTGCTGCTTCGCAGCACATTGCAAAGACGTCTCTGGCGGCTTCTTCGAGGAGAAGCATCTCCTTTTCGGTGAAGGAGTAGTAGCGGTCGTCTGGCCAGTACGGCTCTGAGGCGCCGGGGGCCACGAGGTCGGCGAAGACTAGGCCTTGGCTTTGGATCAGGCGGGTGGCATTTGGCCTCTTGTCTACGGGAACACGGCGCATTTTGGTTGTTTCTTTGGTTCAAATTAGGGAAAGAAAGAAGATAATGGAGTGCGGATGTTGTGCGAAGACAAGTACTTTAGGCAGAGTGGAACAAGGAACTCAAAAGACAACCACGACGATGCTTGGCCGCTGTCCCAAAGGGCAATCTCACATACTTATTCACCAGCAGCTCCCCCCTGGGCAGTCACCAGGCCCTCCTCAAAGTTCGGATGAGGCGGGGATCACCCCTAATCTACAACACCTTGAATCCTGATACGGACACCTTTTTTTTTTTTTTTTTTTTGATTGTCCCGATCCTGCGGACACTTATTTTGAGTTGGGGTTTGATGGCCCATGGGAAATGTCCCCAGTAAAGTTTGCCGCTAGAAGAAGTCTAATATCAAACGAGGCTTTCTAGAAGCTTTGACGGTCCCCCCGTTATGATCTGCCCTTCTCCTTCAGGCTTCTGCCCACTGCCCCTCGAGACACGTTGCCGTTTAACCGTAACATTATCAGAGAATGTCGCACGCTAAGTAAAAGCTGAAACTGCAACTCACGGACGCTGCGCGCTAATCTCTATCCTTTTCTGTCTATATGGGCAATATAAGCTGTACAGGGCGCGAAACTCCCATTGGCCCGCTGTATTATTCAAACGACTCACGAATATGATTACTCGTGTGGGCTTCCGGCACTTTGGGTCGCCGAGCCAGGGAAACGATCTGATCTGCTTGCCTGCGTATCTCGCTAGATTTGGTTGGTGTGTATTAATTCTTTAAACATCTCTAGTCTTGGCATTGGGCAGCACTAAGGGGCGATCTGGGTTGACAACCACCTCGGCTACGCCATGATTTCTGAGACCATTTGCATATTGGTGGCTTGCATGTTTGTGGCTTGCATTTCGTGAGTACAGTCATTGTGTGCCGATGATTCTGAGCTGGTTGAGTTGAAGGCCTCAAAAGCAGGGAGCTTCAAGTCTCTGGTAATCGCAACATCGCATGAAGACCTGCCGCAAAGTTTCGCTTTCGCATTTTCGACTTTCCATTACCTACTTCGTCTTTGTAGTGGAAAATCTGTGAATAATCGAGTTCATCGGTATTTTCTTGACGAGTCACATAAACACGTCCGAACAGACGTTTCGCGATACTCGGCTCGTTGCGAAGAGCCGCGTACAATATGGCTCTACACAAACGACGCTAACTTTTTCTCCATAGTACCTGGCGTGGGGAAACCGGAAACACTTGCCACAAGTGACAGGAATGTAGAATGTTGGTAGGACCCCTGGCGGCTATCAAAACTTTAGCGGAAGCTTGTTTTGTTGTAGTAGAGTGCCCAGAGTCTTGATGGTCTGGACTCTACGCTTGTACAAGTCGTCTTGAAACACGGCAACTTTTCAAACTTCGGGAGTTCCTATTTTCTTCATGAATTTGAATCAATTACCGGCTTTGTCTTTTCTTGACCATTAATTGTGAACCGAGTTGAGTCGAGCGAGGCGAGAACGAAAGCTGTTGTGAACATGTTGTTGTTGTTGTTCTATTTAACGCCATGGCGGCAAGGGCGTTGTGAACATGTCTGTATTGAAGAATCGGAGTATCATCGGTCCAAGTCGAGCCAACGTGATCTACACCCCTTTGAAACACGGGTTACGCCGAACAATACCTCGCAACTCGGCGATCAGGGTCACTCCTCCGATTGATCATTGGGGGCCTTATTACGACTTATTGGAACACGTGGTAGACATTGTGGGAGGAAAGTGGTACCTTGCCATCAGGGTGGCCTTGTAGGGTGAACCGGAAAACCGGGTGGATTCGTAAGGCATTCTCGATTATGACTGGCTTTGCATTGTGCCTTGAACACATGATATAATCAAGGCCTCCTTGTTCTTACGGCGACATTTCGAAAGAACTACCCCACCATAGTAGATTGGGTTGGAAACATGCTTGCGCATTCGGCGTCTCGAGCCGGCCCTCCACAGACCAATGGAAAGACTTTTGAGTACTTGGGCTGTGGTGGTTTTACGAGTATGGTCTGCAAGGTTGAAAGGCTGGACCAGCAGCAGGGAAAGAGATCCGGGGCCCGGTACTGGGATAGATTGTTACTCCAGCCCTTGCTTAGACAATAGACTGGTTTCTTCTTGAGTTTGAATGGCACAATGTTTGGCTGGGTAGCTGTGACAATCAAAGGAGTCAACCTGCTGCTCCTAACTGTGATCTTTGTTAGTTTTTGACCTGAATAATTTGTGTAAGACGCCGGCCAGTAAGGTATGTCAAAGTAACACAGAGAGAGGTGGAAGGTCGTCAGGGGGTAAATCGGTCTCTGGTGTGAGTGCCTCCGCGTCTTCCTCTGAGGTCTAAATTCTGAATGGTGGTTTCCAGAATTCGGCCTATTTCGGTTGTCTTAACTGTTGTGACTAGTACCATGAAAGTCTCTGACTTGTCGTCACAGTTTCCCAGAGTTCATTGGGCCAGTGTGGTGTCGATGGGAATCAGGATCATGATGAAGAAAGGTAGCCAAGAAAAATGCGAATACGGTGTTGAAACCCTAATAAAGACATCGCGCCGAGTAATGCCGTCGACAATAATCTTCCTGCTCCAAGATATACGGCCATGAAGAACGCGTGACCCGCAGGGGAATGTGACTTGAGAGCTGATAGGCGGATACTAGAGGATCAAAAACAGTAAGCATGCGGGGAGTTGACACTGGGTTTGCATCCTAATTCCATTGTCCAAGTGTCGATCTGCCGCAGACTACCGTCGGGACTGGAGGCGCCGGTGGCACACGAGAATCCACGGCGCTAGGTATACACGCGGCTAATTGTTTCCGAGCGGGCAGCAGCAGAAAGAAAGAAAACATGGTTCTAGAAAAATCCACGTGTAGATGCGGGCAGATGGAGGTTGGCAAGATTGGGGATTTTAGTGCGAGGGTTTAACATTGCAGCGAGAAGAGTGTTCATCTCGTCTCTCCCCGAGCTACGCCGGAGATGAAGTATGCAGTGCGGATGTTTGATTCAGTGTGGGTTCAGTGTGTGAGTATCTATGCAGTACTTGGACAAGGTTACACTCGATGGCTCTATGAGCAGGGCACGGCCTGGTAGAGGGTGGTGACTTTGGGCGGAAGAGATGGGACGGGTTGGATCGGATGATGGCCGTTGTGGCATCTATGACGTGTGTTTGGGGAAATTCGGGGCGCCAAGTAGAATGCATGGAACGAAGAGTCGTTGTCGGCATGGAGTGGGATAGGGAGGTATGAGTTGGTGCTGCGATGATCCTGACTGGATTACACCTGCACGCAGGTATAAATCTTTAATGGCTGAGAGCGAGATCTCATATGATACAGACAGCTTGGAGAGACTCTGGGTTTGGAATATGAGTCTTGGGAAGTGTCGAAAGGTGTATAGTAATTTCGGTGACAGTCGATGTTGTCAAGGTGACTTGTATTCCTTTCACATGTACCCGAATACACGACGAAATACTGTTGTTATTTTGAAGCCATGAGTTCAAATCAGTTTCTCTTATACATCTTTTTTCCCTATTCTACTCATTTGGGCCTGTGCAAATCGATTCCAAAACCGTGATGCTCATGAAGCTGCCGCCAAGGAGTGGTGAGAAACGATAGCGAGACAAGCGATTGCGATTGCGATCGGACCTTGGCCCCCAAAGCACGGGACGGGCAGCTGCGAGCCTGCGGCCGGTAATGGTAAGGTATGCAAAGTCACTCGTTGGTCACTCGAGAAATGCAGACAAGGGTCTGTTTCTATGTTTGGAAACAGCAAAAAAGACATTCCCTCGAAAATTGACATTGTGGCTGAGCAAAGCGGGCTGCGCAGGGAAACGCGAGATACCCGAGTGGAGGAACTTTGATTAAGTTTTTGGGACTTGTGGTGTGATTGTCATTCACTGCCAACCAACACCCGGGCCGCATGTGATTGGTTTGGCTTGGAGAGTGAGTTTGTCTCATATGAATCTACAAGATCATTCTCGCTCTGTCAAAATTGAGACGGAAGGGAGATAGGTTGACTGACGCCATGAATTTGACAATCTCCACGAGATCTCATCAGAGTAAGGCATAAGAACGAATATCCGTATCAGGTACGGATATTGGGGGACAATGGAATGCAATGGATGAAAAAAGGTGCCTTTCATTGTGAGATTGAGAGGGGTCCCCTGGGCTCAACGGTCGGACAGTGGCGCAGGCTCCAGTGATGCATCCAATGCCTGATTGAAATTCCTCCATGGATTTCTTCTCCCTTGCAGGGGCAGGACATGGGGGCGGGGTGTTCTGTAACGCGATGCAGCAAGCAGCCACCAAAGGTCCTTACTGTGTAGGTAAGGTAGGCATGGAATTAGGGGACTGCAGCGCAACGCTGCCGCCTTGTCTGTGTCGCGACATCGCATCTTCTACTGCTAATCCGAACATTCGATTACTGAGATGGCGAGAATCATTGGCTGCTTCGTCTCGGTCAGATGCATCTTCCCGTCATGTCGCTGTCCATGTTGCTTGTCGCTGTATCGCATCTAATTAAGGTAAGGTAGGAAGGAACCTGGGAACATCCCGCGCGCCTTCCAAGCTTCCATGAAGTTGTAGAACGGGACTGGTAACAAGCGAGGCCATGTGAGGGAGGACCGACCGACTCTTTGGGCCTTCCTTCCCGTCGTTTGAAAAAAAAAGAGGCAGGAAGCAGCAACGTGCGATGAGACCGCTCTTGCTCTTTCTGCTATAGAAAAAATGAGAATATCATCCAAGCCTTCAGCCTCACCGCACCAGACTTCTTCTCCAACCTCACACCTGATATTATTCTTCTGCCCTCCTCATCCAGATTCCATCGCTTGACGCCCTCGCTCGTCAAGCGATTCTTCCTACCTTATCGACCGACCTATTCATCACGCATTCCGGAGCATCGATACCCGGCCTTACAAGCCACCATCGCGAACAGAGTTTCAACATCCATACTCCGTACACTCGTCCCGGTATGCGCCACTCGATCCCGCGGGTTCCTCCCAACTCTGTTCTAGCTTGATTCGGCC